AGTCTGCACCACATTTTAGCTTCTACCATTTGCAGCCAGTGTCGCAAGAATATTTTTCTGGTGAGACAGCATTACAGATTACTTCTGTGTAATTATATCATTTAAGCCATCTTAGTTTTAACATTATACATTAAAAGTATCTTTGCAGAATAGTACACGTGTAAAAAAAAATGTCCGAATACATCTTCTAAGGTAGATGTAATTAGAATTTCTTCTATCCCATTCAACGTAAATTAATTTCCTTTGAGAAACCAATCACTTTACAGTTAATATGCAAGAGCTCAACTGTCTCACAGACACTATTCTTGTTGTCCAAAGTGAATGAAATATATGACTGTGGAACTAATGTTCTTCTAAAGTGACTTCAAATTATTCTCCTTAAATCATCTCAGCCTGTTCCTGCTCAGCCAATATGAAGAACAAACCATATATTTCATTGCGGTCTAGTATGTATGTCTCAAGGGAATATAATAATTGATTTCACATTCTAGAAATGACAGGTGGATATTTCCCCAGGATGATATTCTCGAGGTATGTATTGTAAATGGGAGACTCATGGTTGCAGTGCATTGTCGATCATCCAGGCACAGTTTACTGCATATGGCAAAGGACAAGAGAAGCAATTTAATTTAAATCAGCAAACATTTACATTATTTTAAAACGCACATGATTTGTACCTGCGTGTGAGGAAAACCAAAAACAAGAGACTTTGAATTTAGTTCCAATTGTGGACACCCGCCAGCAACTTTGCCAATGCAAATGATTTCCATCTGTAAAAATGCGAGGTTTCTAAAAAACGTAAATGTGAGAAAAATCAGCACGGACACCAAAACATCTGGTTACTTTTCTTCTAATCAACATGCTAAAGCTCGCAGCAGTTCCGAATTATAGAATTTCTTGTTTCACCGGAAAAAATGACGCAAAACTGCCTCGAATCCAAAAATCTGGCTTTGTTATCACTATCCGTAAAATGCATTCGAACGTTTCCTGCCTCTTAAAACGTCCATACTCCGCACCCAATCCCAATGTCAATAGACCCATTACAGACCCGCGTTTCTACGAAAGCCTCATGTATACTAACATCCTATAAAAGGCTCATAAAACAATAAAATGTTGGGTCGAAACTTGGTAATGTTTAGCTTGATGGTACGCGAGGGTCCGGCAAGTGACTCTTCAGATCGACATACTGAAATCCAAAATGTTTCTTCTAAGTAAACCTGTTGAAAGTGGATTTATTTACAGCTTCGCCATAATTTATGTTGGAAACATTTGCATTTTTTATTGGATGCAAACGAATTGTTTTATCCTCGTTAGGGACAACTTGCTGAAGAAAAATAGAGCTTATAGATATGCTTGATTTGGGTTGTTTCATGGCGCCACTAAATGATTCCATCGGCCTTTGTGCACGTTCTTATTTCGAATCTATTTACATATGTACACTATATACACAAAAACTAGACTCAACAGCATAGGGATTTGATTACGAAGTATACTGGACTGTTGCTTTGGATATCTTCAAATAGGGAACCACAGATTCTTCAGCAGTAAATTCTAAGAACATTATTATTCTTTTAAGAATCTACATTTTTTTTGGTTAGTCTTTGGTGCTAAGCTGAGAAATGTGGGAAAAAGTAATAAAATCAAGTCGAGTTTTTGACAATTGAGTTCTTCACAGACTGATTCAAAGGTAGTCTAACAAATTTTTAATATTTTTGAAGAAAAAAGGGTGTACCACTGATTTATTAAAAAAATAATAGAAGTGGATAGTCATAGTTGGAATTTACTTACAATATTAACGTATACAAACTAATGGCTCATAAGTGAAACTTCAGGACGTGCGATAATTTTTTTGCTTAAAAATTTATATAAAATACCATTTGCGAAAAAAACTCAAGATATATTTTTTGTCTAGAATTGAACAAGCAATGAAAGGAAATACTAATTGTTTGATAAATCAGTGGCGCCATTATTGTCTTCAAAAATATCGAATGCCTCTCCTGGTGAACCAAAAAAATGTTTCATTCAACAGAAACGTGGCCAGTCGATAGCTATTGTCATCTGCAAATCTTCATTAAAATATCTCCAGCGATTTCCGATAAATTAATAGATTTTTATATCTTACAATGAAACCGCAACACTCGTATTTTCGTAAAGATGCCTAAGTACCGTTGTTTATCAAAACATTCGATCTTAAAATAATGCCAGCAATCATATCTTCAAATTTGTACTTTTGAATAAACTTGTATACTAATCTAAGCTTTTTGTGCAATTTCAGTTGCTAATTAATAAATACGTATTTAAGGTTAATCGATCTTTTGAACACTGAATGAATACTCTAGTAAAACACAAAATTTGCTGCGATTGAAAACAAATACTGTACAAAATTCTAATATAGTAGAGCCATAATGCCTCTCACTTGAAAAATGTATCGGGAACAAATTAAAAGAGAATTCAATGGTATTGTACTGTTACAATTTGGTACATTCCAGAACGCACTTTTTTAGTCTACGTCACCAGAAACAAATAATTTTCAGTTCGACCTTTTGGCACTAAATACATTATATCTCAAAATAGACTCAACAGATAACAAACATATGACAGTGATAAAACTGGCGATGAAAAAACCAATGAGCATCGGCAAGATTAATGTTATCATCTCCAGTAATCGCTTGGTTTCTTCAAGTGTGTGTCAGGAAATAGTTGTAATGATAATTTCGACGCCGAAAAATTATTCGTAGATTGCATCTATTTGGGAAAAAAGACTGGGCAAGGCAACGGGGCTCTAATGTATTTCATTGAAGGGGAAGAAGACAGAGGATTAGGGTGGTAGCCCGACTCAAACAGAGTAAACCAGATTGGTGCTCACAGTGGCGTAGCGCCGCATCACCAAATGGAAAATAAAATTCCTTTTTCTCTCCAGAAGTTAATGATACGAATATAACACCTTGAATGAATTCATAAAACTCTTTTTCATAAAAAGTTTACATATTATGGCCTTTAACATTAATTACCCACATATCCGCCCCTTTGCCATAACTTTTGTTTTATGATGGCGCATTCCACATTGGGTACTACCCAGATAGTTAGCCATTTATTATAAATTGCTATTTCGCTTGCTGCTTGATTAACCAATCGAACATGGGTATTTATCGTAGAGTACCTCTACGAATATAAAATAAACTATATAGTCAATGTTGTGAGAAGGAACCATTACTTCGGCCAGCTACTGACTAGTAGTAGCAATAAAATCGCTTGGCATAATAATAATAATTGTTTTCTTAGGTAATTTATACAATGCTAAATAATGAGGTTATCGGTGTAAACATGCCATTTTAAAATTGAATGTTTAATTGTTCATTAGCATATGAGTGAATTATTGTTTGTTTGACTTCAAGAGTTAATTTGCAACAGTTTTTCCATATCAACTAGCAAGTTGCTTGACTTCAAATTGGTTTGTTCAGCATTATTAAATACTGAAGAAATAGCAAACGGCATAATATGTGCCCACGCATCTATAATCCATCTTCTCTCTCTCAGCTTCTATTTGTATTTTGAAGTTTATTCCATATTTAATTCGTGCTTTGTTTTGTGCCCAATTTATAATACATGGTTTGTTTCTGGAATTTTTGTTGTCTTCTTTTATTTTAACCAATTATAAAATGTACATTTTACTCGTTCTAATGCGTTTCTCGCTGTGGAGTTCAAATAAGCTTTAAATCGAAAATGCCGAAATGAGAATAATGCAAGCACTGATTTAAAGTAATGAAAATTCATCACTACGTTAATGCTACATTTATATTTTCCATTTTCATTAATTTTATGGAAATATTCATAATCAAATTATAATGATTGCAAACTGTAAATAATGGCAGAACAATATTTGTGCGAATTTAAATTGTATTCTTTGTGGTTTAGCTAGTTTGCGGGAGAGGTGAAATGTGTGCAATGTCGTTTTGCAATAAACAGTTAACTGAGTTCTTACCAGCGGTTATAAATTCTCGGGAAAAGCAAAGACTTGTATTATTATTATACAGCCATCTGTTTGAATTTTATTTTGAAACTGTCGCCCCAAGAACATTTAGATAATTTCATTTCTGGCATTGTTTTATTTTATTTATCTAAGTTGTCATCAATCATTTACTTTGTTGTCGATTCGTTTCACCAAATTTAATACTAACCAAAGAAAATATGTGAAACTAAATATTTCTAAAATATCTAGAGTAAGTAGACTAGAAGGAAAAGTAGAAATTCAATTTGGGCGACTAATTAAGTGAAAATTTGGCAAAATCAAATAAGAAATTAAGAAAAAGAAAGATAATATTCTTCATTAACCACGAGGAGCACCTGATGTAAAAAAATTACCAGCCATTTGACTAAATAAAGACGAGTTTTGCTTGTTACTACCAAAAATGAACCAAATTGCAAATAATTCATGCAATGACAGCATGTAATTAATGCGAAAAAAGCTAAATCCAAACCAAAATCTAATCTGTAGTCTTATTTAAATGTTAAAAGGTTAGTTTTAATTTAAACCTCTGATACTGTTTATTCTCTGAATTTTTTTTCAGTTTTTCGTATCTGTTTGTTGTATAAATTCATCATCTGATGAATATGACATTTAAAAAAGGTGATGAATCGCAGGACCAAACGAAGAATGAAATAAAATAGCAATTTTTATTTCAAGCGGATTCCAAGATTGAAGAATAAAAATATGAATAAGCTAAGATCAATAAAAGGATCGAACAATTCGACATTGTAAACTTTTCATATTTAAGTTGAATGTGAATAGGATACCAATATTTGATCGTATTTGGAATAATACAAGAAAAGTGCTCTTGCCAGATATGCTTATCATACAAAAGTGAGTCATCAGAGCTTAAATCATTAGTAAATATGTCTAGGTTTTATAATAATAAATGTTAACTTTATGCTTAAAACTTTACAAAAAGTACAACTTTTTGACAGTTGAAATTTTGAAAGTCAACATACTTTTTGAAAGTCAACATACAAAATGAAATATTCATACAGCTGTATTTCGAAATATGAGTATACAGCATATATATGAAAGTCAACTTGAAGCATGTTGTAATTCGTGGCTGTTTAGAGGCAACCGCTTGGGGGGGATTCGTACTAAAAGACCAAAGTTGCCCAACTTCAACCGCCGGATTGGATATAATTAGAACAATGTTTTTTTTTGTCTCTGTCCTGTAGATTTGTATCTGCTTATACAGATTCGACTTGTTCTTGCATGACTTTTTTGAATTACTTTTCAAAATTAATTGAGGTTGAGGGGTGGTTACTCCAGATGAAATGAGGCTTGTGATCAGTATGAACTTACTGCCTGTAAATAGGTGATCTATTGAACGGTTTTGGGTGCGTCCTATGAAAATTAGATCCCGTGTTGATGATTTCTAATACTGGCGACGAGTCGACACTGATTCCGGCAATAGGCCGCTATCCTATAGAGCGGGTCTTGGTTTTATTGTACACTGTAAATACGCCTGGAACTAGAATACAGTGTGGGTCTCTAACCTTACAGGCCCCTTTGGCTGCCAGTGTAAATTTGACGGCACGGCGCATCAAGTAGGCAGTTTCGTCGATGTGCTTTCGTTATTGTGGAACGTTATTCTTATTATTATTTGTGCTATTCTTTCAAATTTATTTAGTGGCGTTTAATTGATGTGTGCAATCGAGTAGTGGATATATGCGTCAGATGTGCACCAAAGTGGATTATGTGCTTACATTTAAAGAACAGGTGTGTAAATATTGGGCCAATGAGAAGACGGTTTATAGCTCCGATTCATGTGCTTTTTACCTGAAGAGGATGATCGTTTCGTCCTTGATTCTTCTTTTTCCCTAGATTGGCTCCGGTCCCGAAGAACCATCGTCTCTTTAAATGGTTCAAATTAATTAATTTTCTGCCAACTGCGAATCGCAATCATTATTCACTTTCTATCGAGTAATTTGGAATTATTTCCCTTGTTTTCCAGCCAGTTCGGGTATAACTAGGGCGAGCTCTTCAGCGCCAGCAACGCTATTAAGAGTAGGTCGATAAAATGGCAAAATTAAGCAAAATGTGCCCTTGGCTTCCGAAAAACCATTACTGGAGTTATACACGAAAATAACTTCGAAACTCCACAGATCAATATTGAGAATCGACCAAAACCATTTCACATAGTAAAACAATCTAACAACTAAAACATTTTGAATTTTTGTGGCTTGATGGCTGATTGAACTCACTGCGAGACGCGTTGCGCTCGCCGACATTTTTTGTTCCTTTTGTAACACGTACTCACTTGGAAGTTATGAAATTGCCAGAGGAACGATCTAAACAAATCTTTTTTTAGAACTTTGTCGAAACCGACGTGAAACGAGCATGAGAAATGATAACTTTACCGCGTTTAGGCCTGCTAAATAAAAATTAAGCTTTACTTTTTCGGAAGGTTTTCTTGATGGAGTTTAGTGATTAACAATTTTAATGATTAAATGCTAGAAACAAAAGAGCGGGTTATACAATATTATGACAGACGTGAAAAAACGCAAAGATAATAAAATAAATGATTAAACGTTCGTCTAAAACGTCGTTTAAACAGAAGATTTTACGATTACACTTAATGTGTGTCTAGGTTGCTGTTTTTTGTTGTTAAATTGTTGATTATTTTCTATAGGTATTGGAAAAGACATTGATTATTTTTCCAATAATCGGGTTTCTTAGCCCAAACTGACTGCTTCGAAAGAGTTATTATTTTTCAGTGTTAAAAAGATTGGTTACTACGTCTGTTTATGCAGAATAAGACCTTTTACAAACCATTCAACTATTTGAAGAATAGAATCATCTCATTCCACTCAGTAAAATTGGGTATTGAGATTAGAAATGTCGATTATCAATCCGAAAACACTGACTTAATGTCCAATTATGAGTCCAATGTAGCTTGGAATAAACAAGGATTAAGTATTTGTTTATATGCTACCAACCACACTTTTAGTTGTTGATTGTGAAAAGAGGGCGAAAGCCAATAAAGTTCTTAATCGCAGTATGCAAACTAGGAAACCAGCTGTTAAGTAAAGCATCCATTCCATGTTACTTTTTCGTAAATACGATAAAAATCCCCGTTTATTTTACAATATTTCCTTTAACTTGTAATAAATTCATAGATATCATGGACAGTGTTCAGCAAAAAAAAACCAGAAGAACATTGAGTGTTTATTAAAACGATAAGCTTTTAGGATAATTTATACTCTGTTTGGCATTTACATAACTGACATGTTAAATTTGGATCGATCAACACGATATGTTTAATTGGTTCATACCGGCGCTTTTTTACATTCGATCCATAGCAGAAAATGCTACACAAAACGTTCACGGGAAACCGTATGGTGTAGACATCAAAATATTATATCGTTTTTATTCGACTTATGTTCAAAATAAATGCTTAGGACCCAAAGGCTAAACACGTTTTTGTCAAATGATTTGTACAAATTCAGAGCAAAACAATTTAGAGCGCGTATTTTAGTAAGAACAATCCTTACTACGTGTTTTAAAGTAATTGTGATAATCAGAAACTTTCGGGAAGAATTTCTAATATTCTTTGTAACACTCTGTGACTGGACAGTTATTTCGGGAAAATTTGAGTTTCGTTGCAACAGATGCAAAGAAATTTTCGCTTAAATTAAAAAATAATAAAAATATTGCACGGTTTCCGCATGGATTACCACTCTTACCCCTTCTATATAACATAGAATGTTACAACATATGCAAGAATGATTTATGCGACAAAACCAAATGGACAAATTAGCATACATATTTCAATAAGCTGACGACACTGCACGTATTGTACACGACAAACAATAGTGATATAAGTGATCAGGCATTAACGAAAAATACATTGAATTGTGGTTTTCTACATGGAGATTAACATCAAATCCAGCAAAAGATCAACTTTCCTCGAACCACCAAATCAAGGAAGATTCTCCAACAAACTCACTAAACACGTACTAAATAGAACAGATATCACTAAAAGGTCACAATACTTGTAATTGCTAACGTACAAAAAAGTCAACCCGGAATATACCAAACAATAGGTAGATTCATGCTCGACTACGACCACATTAATGAAAGCAAATGCTTCCTATAAAAACAAACACTTACAAGCAACAGAAAAGAGTACATAAGATCAATGACAAGAATAAGAGTCATGTGTGTACGCCCGAACAAATATGACAAGGATTACTGAAAGAAAGACTGCTTCAAAGTGAAGCAAAATGGATTAAAATTAATAACAGGCATAACTGGACCATATTGACACTACTGCAACAATTCTACTAGAATACTTACAAACACATCGAAATACCCAAATAAATTTGCAATCATTTTAAGAAGGCGAAGATCAGAAAAGAAGTAGAATTAAGCATACATGATTTATGTATACAATATATATATAGATATATACAAAATGACAATTGTTGAATTTGAAATATAAAAAAAATTGTAGACGAAACTCTGTTAGCTCTTAAAAACTTTAATAAGACATTAACGTTTCAGTTTCTTTTAATTGTTTTAATACTTATCAATTGGCATTATTTTTTTTAGGTTTGCGAGCGTATGTTTGACTCCGAATTATTTTATATTCACTTCAGCTCAGACCACTCAGTAAACCCTGACAACCAGACAACAACAAACTTGAACAAATCTGAACTAGTTTATGTCTTGGTATCATCATCTCCGTGTAACTTTATACAGCAGATAATTGCTCAAGAAAACATTGTTGTCACAATTTAACTTGTGGCGATATGTTGGATAAAGTTACTCGGTTAATACTATATGTCTTTTTCATTTCCTATGAATTTCTTTTATTATTGTTTCGTTAATCGTAGATCTAGTTAATCTTTCTAGATGTGTGTTTTCCGACGACCCGCGTGAAATTAATGTTTTTATCAAAATTAGTATACATTACTACTGTTTTTCTGAAAATCTAATTCATTTACGACTCTAACACTCAATAAGACAAACGAAATTTTGTTTTACCTTGGAAAACTGTTTTAGGACCTAGAACGCCCTAAAGTAAATATTTTCTAAAATAATGACTCAACTTAAGTAAACTATTCCTTGCGAACCAACCTACTCGAATATTATAAATAATTTAAGATCTCTTGATAAAGGAGCTTCCAACTTTTCACTTTACTTAGTCCATTGATATGTTACTCACATGAAGAATACTTACGTGTGTAAGACGTGTATAATGCGTGTCTGTAAATGTTGACTTCATCATTAATGATGTTTGATAGTTCGAGGATGAAACACAGTCGTTTATTGTTAGCAATATTATAGTTCGGACTTGATATGTGGAGAAAATAGGCAACACTTCCAAACTTTGAAACGCCAATACTCACGAAAGTTTCAATTCTTACACTCTACTCACACCGTCATTCTGTAGAAAGTTTACAGTATATCTTCCATTTCATTTGGAAATTATTTGCATTTTAAACTTAGAAATTTACAATCACAATCAATTACAATCTTTTGAATATGTAACTCTAAATCATTGCTGCAACAAATTGGAAGATGTCCTATGTTGAAAGTGTGTTCGAATGAAAATCAAAGTCAACATTTTCTAAAATCGTGATGTAACCAAAGCAAACTATGCCTTGTATGCCAACCTACTTGAATAATATAAATAATTTAAGATTGTTTAAAAAAAAGTTGTCAGCTTTTTACGAGTCCATTGTAATGTTATTCAGTCGAATACGTAGAATGCACAACAGTTGCATAATGCGTGTTTGGAAGACATACATTTGATACCTTGGTAATAATTCGAACATTCAGGATCATGTCTAGATACATCAATTGATTTATATTTATTAACAAACACCTAAAGGCAAAATTTACCTGTGCGAATAGTAAAAGTAACGTTTCAACAACGAATTATTATTAAGACACGCGTGAATTGGCCGCTAAAGAAAAACGATTAGTCTTGAATCTGAAAGATCATCCACTGTAGAATAACCTGATTTGAAATGAACAGTTACCTTGTATGTTTCTGACTAGAAATTGTACTTAAAATACTACTGCCACCTCGTCTGCACTATCAAAATTCAATTTAGAACCTCGTCATGCACCGATTCAATCATTGTTTGAATACGCGACGCATAATAAGCCCAGTCAACTTCCTCTTGTCTCTGTCCTGGTGTTTTAAATAAAAGTGAATTAAATGCCATTCGGTATTCAGGAACAGATTGAACATGTCTCGTAACTTATTTACTGAGTTTTCTTCTGTTATGGTAAACCGCATCCGTAGGGTTAACGAAATTAACCATCGCTTTTCCAACATATGACTGAAAAGGGATATTCATTAAAGTTAACTTTGCACAAAACCATTATTTCTTCTTGCGTGTAGGTACATTTTCAGTCATTTTTGCCGAGCATAGACCATGTAATTATTATTATAGTATGTATTTGCAACATCACTGAGTCCGTCTACCTGGTCTAGCGCAACAAACCTCTACAAGAACCGGTATGCACTTTCTTTGGCCGATTACATGTTTCTTCATATTACAATAATTAATCTTCAAATTCATTAATCAACTTTCTTTGATCTATCGAGATAAAACCGATGCTTTATTTTCATTTGAAAAAAACTTGTATAATTTACATCTCTCATGTTTACAGATACATGTAGCTTTCAGTGCCAATCAACGCTAAAGGAATCGGTTTCGAAGGATATTTTTCAGCTGTCGTCTGATGTGTTTTGCTTTCAT